ATGATTTTATTATTATTGAAGTTTTGAAAGACATTCATAAGTATTTTCTTAAGTAATTTGAGGCGTTAATGTATTTGCAAGATTTTTCTTATTATTTTGATTTCTAAAACTAAAATTATAATTTGTCATCATCCCATTTTTATAAGTAATTTTCATTTTTTAATAATTACATTTACATCTTCCACAATTACATTTCTCACAAGCACAAACCCCTTTAATTTTTAAATAATAAAATTAATTTATATTATATTTTTTTATTAAACTAAATAAATGGTGAAAGTATTCTTAATTCTGTTATATTATATATTCTAAATTCATATAATTTGCACTTATTTTGAAATCTTTAATAATTTTCTAAATTCTAGGATCATTTATTTATATATTTTCCAAAAAAGAATAATCGACTTAAAAGCAAGATTAAGTATCTGAAAAATCATTAATATTATTATTATTTGATTATTTATTTTCATTGATATTATAATTTGATTATTATTTATAAAAAGTTTTGCTTTTACTATGTGTAAAACCTTAATTATTACCTTTAATATTATTATTATTTCTATAGCTTTTGTTACTATTATTATTTTCAGAAAAGCAACTCAAACTTTTTCTTTAATATGTTTTTGGCCTTTCCTATTATAATTAGCATTTTCTATATTCATTTTTTTATAAATTTTATGATATTTTTCCAAAATTATTTGAAGTTATAGATAAAATATCATTTCTTATTTATTATTAAACTGAATTGGATCTTATTTATTTAACTTAATATTCTTCTTTTTATTTTTTATTTATTTAAATTGATATTTTTATTTACTTTCCTTTTATAAATATTAATTTCTGTTTGATGGTATACTTATAATTTCACTTTTTGAACCTTATTTTATAAATCTTAATCTATCTTCTGATGAACCTCCATGATGTTTATATATTATTATTTTTTCTTTTTTATTATCATCATATTAATTCTCCTATTCATTTAATTTTGTAAATTTATCTTTTATTTTTTAATTTTATAAAAAAACCTATTTTATTTTTATGTACACGATATAAATTTATTTTTAAAAAGATTTTTTATTTACTTAAGCTGTTTTGGGGCGATATGATTATACCTTCGATTTTAAAAGATATAAATCTTTTGGCCTTAGGAATTATTTGATTTTTTGACTCATTTTTAAAATAAAATTTTATTATTTTATTATTAATATTTTAGTTTTATATTATTTTATTTAATAATATCTATTTTTTTTCAAATTTTATTATAATTTTAAAGCTAGAAGATTTTTTTTGTAAAATTATTTATATATATATAATATTTTATAAAATAAAAATAACTTACTTTTATGTATATATTTGAATAAAAAACATATCATAAATTTATTTATATAAATATTATTTATGTATTTAAAATAAATAGTATTATTAATTAATATAAATAAAATATTTAATTAAATATATAAAAACATTATTATTATATTATTTAATATAAATAATAAGTAAAATAAAGATAATCTTATTTGTTTATTTTTTAATAAAAGAATTAAAGAATAATATTAAAATAATCAAATTTAAGTTGATAAATATAAAAATGAATTTTTAGAATTCATTAAATAGTTGTTTGAAAATTAAAAAATATAAAAAAAATTATCTTTATTTATAAATATAATATTTGTTTAAAAAAAGAATTCCTAAATAATATAAAATATATCATAAAATAAATATATAAATATAAAAATATGTAATAAGATTTTTAAAATTTATCATCAGATTATTAAAAGATATATACACAAGATAATATTTTAAATTATTTAGATTTTAAAGACTAATAATAAAGTCCTAAAGAATTTAATAATAATGATATTATAAATAATATATTGAACTCTGATATAAAAACAATATAAAATTTATAATCTAAATGCTCTTCTAATTATTACAGAAGTTCTTATAGTAATACATTATCAGGACTAAAAGATAAACAAGAAAGCACAATATTGTATTAAATAATTTAAGATTTAAAACAGCAAATATAAAATGATTAAGTATAATTGTATAATTTTCAAAGAACTAATTTTAATTTTATATATTTAAATAAATATATAAATATATATATATATATATATATATATATATTTATATATATATATATATTTATATATATATATATTTATAAAAAGAGCTCTTATTAATATTTATGCTCATATATTCCTTTAAAAGAACTTGATTTAATTGAAAAGGATAGTAATTAGTTTATAAAATATATTATGTAAATATTTGCCTATTATTTTAACGTAAAATAATAATATTAAACTTAACTTGAATTAAAAGGAGACAATAATGTAATCGAATAATGTCTTTAAAAAGCAGAAGCTGAAGTAAGGTAGCATATACGAGTAATTTTTTCTATTAAAAGAAATATATAAAAAAAACTATAATTTTAATATAAAAGATTGAATAATAACTAAAATTATATGCAGAGAATATATAAGAAAAATGTCTTTAAATTTAAAATGAAAAAGATGAAATTTAATAAAAGTTAGATTTGTGGATAGAAAAATATGAATAAGAAAGATAAATATAAAATCAATTAATTTAAATAAATAATTCGGAAATTGAAAAGCTTAAAAACGAATTAAATTTAAAAGAAAAAGAAAATTAAGAAATGCTAAAATAATTACAAACTTTAAAAATATAATTAACAACTTCTAATTATACCACAATGGATTTTTTCTAAGCAAGTCAAACAGATTAAAATTAATATAAAAGGTCTGTTAGCATAAGTACCGTAACCGAAATGTCTGAAAAGCTTAATAGTTAAACTATATATAAAGTAGAAAAACCTTAATAAATAAATAGGTTAATTAATTATATATATATATAAAAATAAATATAAATTTTTTATTTATTAGAATAACTAAAACATATGGAAAAAACAATAAAAAAGAAAATAATTAAATAATAAACTAATAAGAAATAAGAAATAAATAATATATAAATACAAAAAATACTTAAATTATATAATAACAAAATCCTAATCAATCAATAATTTTATAATCATTTAATAATATAAAATAAGTAAACTAAAACAATAGCTTAAAAAATAATACCAAAATATATAACAATAATAATATTTTAAAAAATTAACAGGCAAAGCTATCTTCCGAAACTAAAAGAAATTACTTTTATTCGAATTCTACATCTTTTTTGAATTCTTAATAACTTAATAAATAAAATAACTTGATCTTTAAATATTCTAATTTTCCGAACTAAGGAATTTTATAAACAAATCCGAGTGTGCATAGTAATATGAATAGTAGCCTTATTAACAAAAACAATCCAAATTATATAAATAATAATAAAATTTATCATAATAATAATAGTATTATAGTAAATAATAATTTAGTATAAAATACTATTTAAAATGCCTTAATAAAAACTTAATAAAGCTATTCTTTAGAAAAATCTTAATAACCTATTCCTATATATCAAAATTATTAGTAAAATTTAAGTAGTTATAGTGTTGATTATTAAAATTAAAATTTAAGAAGTTAGTATATGAAATATTAATAATAGCAATATCAATAATAAAATAATATATGATTTAAAACTAATGAATCATATATATTATATTTATTAAATTATTTTTAAGAAAATAAATAATTAAAATAAATTATTTACCAATAAAAATAAAAATATAAATTATTAAAAAAAAAAAAATATGGATAACTACACAATATAAAACCAAATAGGACAATGAACATACAGTATATAAAAACATTCGAAAAATCCTCACAAGATCAAATAACAATAATTAGCTTAAAACAAGAAAATTATTAATTTAAAAGAAATGTTTAAATATGAAAGAGTAAACATTTAAAGAAAAATCAACCGTAAAAATATCGTGAAACTAACTGAAATAATTAAACATATCAAAATTCCTTATATATAGTAGTTAAATATTTAAACTTAAACCTATTATAATTATATTCAAAAAAATGATCAGAAATAAACCGAAAAAAAAAAATTAGGAAAATAATATTTAATATATCAGATGTATTTGAGACATGAAGCTTGAAAATATTCTTATTGCAAAAAATACATAAAAGCTAAATCATGCAATATTTCAAAAATTGCTAGAAATATTCATTTAATATTTCATTTTACCGATTACATATTTACTAGATGGTATAGAGCGCCCTAAATTCTTTTAGGAAGTCTAAATTATGATTATCAAGTGGAAATTTTTTCTTTAATATGAGGTTTTGCTAAACTTTATTTGCAAAAACCTTTATGAGAAGTAAATAGTGATGTTATTTAAAATTGTAAGAACTTTAGGTAATACAGAAAAATATTAATGGAACAAAGAACATAGGTTCACAAATTAAATTGCATTTATTTAATTATCTAAATATGAAGGTATAAATTTTAAAAATATTATTTGATGGTAAATATAAGCTGCTTTGCTAATTGAAAAATTGTACATTTGGATTTTTTAATAATTAATAAACTATTTTTTATTTTAGTATTTATTTAATTTTTTTATATATTTTTTTGTTAACTTTATAAATAATATATCGAATATTATAAATTTAAATAAAAAAATCAGAAAAATAGATATATAAATTTTACTAAAAAATATATATATATATATATATATATATATATATATATATATATATATATTATAATACAAATACAAAAAATACATATATAATTTTTTTTTTAAAAAAAAAATTTATTAGAATAATTTATATTTTTTTATTTTTTTATTTTTTTATTTTTTTGAATTAATAAATATAAAATAATGTAAAGATTAAATAAATTATCAAGGTAAGATGATGAATTTGATTATGGAATTTCATAAAAAGCTTTTTAATAGACATAAACATAATATAATGGTTTTTAGAATTCTTTAAAAGGCAAATTAATTGCAATTGATGTAACAAAATAATAAAAAATATTGTTTAATTAACATTTCATTTGAAATATATAAAAAGCATAATATGGAAGAACTCTCAAGAGATATGATTAATAATATTAAAGAAGCATAAATTCTAAAAAGCGAAAAAGATACATTGTTATCAGTATTATAAATGAAAACTTAAGATGTAAAAAAGACATTAACAAACGAATTAGCAAGAATGGAAGAAGAAATGAATAGACATTTTTCGCATTAAAAATAAGAAAACTAAAGATTAGATTATTAAATAACATCATTAAAAGGTGAAAAAACAGCGTTATAATAGTAATTATTAGGTGTATAAAGAAGAATAACTGAATTAGAAACATAGGTTGGAAATGAAGAGAATGAATGAAAAATTAAAACTATTTTAATTTTAAAATAATAGAAAATATTTTTTATTTTTTTATATATTAATTCTATTTAAAATTTATAATTATTATTCTTTTTTTAAATAAAAATATTTTTTTTATTAATATTATTTATTTTTTTATTTTAAGTTTTTTAATTAAAAATAAATAAATAATAAAAATATATATATTGTACTATTTATCTATCTATCTATACATTTATTTTAATTACAAGAAAATGTAAATCAATTCGATTATTATAATTTAAAAAATACGTTTTTACGAAAAACAAAAAAAAAATATTATTAAAACCTAGTTTATTTTAAAAACGATTTAAATAAATAAATAAATCTTAATTAGATAAATATTATTAATAATATTTCTATAAACAATAAAAATAAAGAATTATAAAAAAAAAAATGAGCGTACAAAACCCTTAAGAAACTACAAGCTTAAAAACTGATATAGAAACCCAAAGATTACAAGAAAAATAAGAAAATGCTGAAGTAGCAGAAACAGTAATAATATTTTATAATTAAGAACTCCTTAAATAATCAATTAGAAACATAATCATAGAATCAATTATTTATTTAATATGTAGTGGCCTTTTCCTTTATTTTAGTACAGATAAAACACATTATTAATGCACAAATAATACTTTTATTTACTTATGTTAGTTATTGGGAATATTATTTGCTTTCTTTGTAATTGTTGATGTTATGTTACTTGTTGGTTTATGGCTTTTAAAAAAAGAACATAGTATTTTATAAATGCATGTCGTTTTTTCAGCTTTATATATTATAATTGCACTTGTTTTGATTATTTCTATAACTGTATATGATGATGTTGCTTGTGGAACTCTTCACACTTTTGCTATGATTTATTATATTGGATTTTATGCTACTATATTAGTAAAACTTGTTTTATGGTGCATTTTATTAGTTTTTAAGTATTCAGATAGCAAGGATAAAAAAAACTGAAAAAAATTTTAATTTTATTTTACAAATAAAAAAAATATATATTATTTTTATTTCGCATTTAAACTTTTATATGTTTTTTAAACTATAGTTTTTAAAAAATGATATTGAATATGAAATTTTATATAAACTTTTAGTTTTAATTAAATATTTTATATTTTATTATAATTTATATATTAATTAGTTAACCACTTTTTTTAATAATGTTATTATAATGTATGTCTATAATTAATAAAAATAATATATAAAACGGTTTATTTTTTAAAAATAAAAATATAGTAATATTTTTTTATATATAAAAAAAATATACTAAAAAATTAAAATATTAATATTTTTATTTTAAATAAAAAATTATAAATGAGATTGATATTTATATTAAAAAAAATATATATTATTTTTAAATTAAAATGGTTATTATTATAAATATAAAATATATACATATATTTAGATTTTTAAGATAAAAATAATATAAAAATATTTATATTTTTAATAAAAATGAAGATATATATAATAATATTAATTATTTTTTAATATAAAAAAAGATATATAATCAATTAATATTATATATTATATTACTTTTTAGTGTTTAATATCTCAATTAAAAATAGCTATCTAAATTTTTTTCTCTCATTTTTATTTTATCGATTTTTAAAAGAAAAATAAACAGATAATGTTAAAATATAAAATACATAATTTAAAAAATTATTAATATATGCAACTTTTATATTTACTGATTTATTTTAAATTTAATATTAATAATAAAAAAATTATTATACAGTTTTACATAATATGTAATGATAATTTACAAATAAACATTTAGAAAATGAAAATCGTTTTATTTAGATATATATTTGAATATTTTTATATAAATAAAATGAATATAATAATTTGATTTATTTTTATTTCAAAATATTTAATTTTTAAAACATTTTTTTAAAAAAAATTAAAAATAAAAAGAATTAAATATAAATTATTTTCAAATTTTTATATTAATTTCTAATTTTTTTTTTTTAAAAAAAAAACAATATTATTAAAAAAAAGAATATAAAATACATAAAAAAATATATGTCATTAAAAGTTCAAGAAGACGCTGCATCTGAAGCATCATTTGGTTAAGAAAATCATCATAATTAATCTGGGTTTTTATAAGGCTCAGTAAATAAAAAGATATAATTTTTTTTATTATAATTAAATAAATAAAGAATGAAATTTAGTAATATTTACGAAGTTTAAAAGAAAAATAAATGGGTTAAATACATTCAGTTTTTGTAAGAAAATAAAATAATAAATATATAAAAAAAAATATTAAATTAGAAAAAACATTAAGAAAAAATCGAAGAAAGTGATCGTGAGATTACTGAATAACAAAGAAAATTATTAGAAAAATAGATGGGTTAAATGAATACAGGATATGTAATTTTTTTTTTTTTAAAAAAAAAAGTCTAAATAAAAATAGAAAAAACATTAAGAAAAACTTTAAAAAAGTTAAAATCAAAATACAGAATCTTAAAAAAAATTATAAGAAGGAAATAAACCAAACACAAGCTAAAAAACAAAACTTAATAATGAAAACTCAAAAAACATACTGAACTAAAAAAAGAGAAATATCTTCATAAAAAGAAAAAGAAAAAAAGGCGTTATTTGGATTGAAAATAATCGCCCTTAAGCAGAGCTGGAATATAAACTGAGAGAATATTTGAAAAGTAAAGAAATAAAAAAAACTGAAGTACAAGAAAAATCTTAAAATTAAAAGCCAACAATAAATTTTGAATAAAAAAAACTCTCTGCTCATATTGATGAAAATTATGATTATGAAATAATGACTCATATATCCGAATCTTCTAATTATGCTTTTGAAACTGGAAACGATGTAGTTTAGCAATATTAAAAATTATTCGACAGCAGAGCTTTATCTATAAAAGCAGATTTAGATGAAATAAGAGCAAAAAAAAAAAAATATAGGGTAAAAGATTTCAAAGACGATGAAATAAGTATTTTGAATTAATTTTTTGGAAAAATAAAATAAAACAAAGAAAACTTAGTATAAAAATAAGATTTAGAAAATGCACTTTTAGAAAGGAAGGAAATATTAACTTTATATAATATAAAAGGGGAAGATTTAAGAAAAGAAATAGACAAATTTACAACAGAAAAATTCGGATATTTTTCTTTAAAAGAATTCATATAATTTATTATTACTGATAGATAATTTACTAATTCTAATTTGTATGGAAAAATGAATAATATAAAATAAAATGAGAATATTGATGTATATTATATATATATAATATTATATATATATATATATATATATATATTTATTTATTTATTAAATATTATATATAAAAATGCGATAAAATTCGTATATAATCTTTTAGTTTTATTAATTTTTTTATTTAAATTTTAAAATATATTAAATACCATAAATTTAATATATATGTTTTATATTATAGAATTAATATACTTGTTTATTAAGTGATTAGGATATTAATAAAATTCATGATGAATTCAATAAAATTGATACATTTGGAGAAGAAATAATTAGCTTGAAATAAATTATTCACGTTTTAAAAGTTAATAAATATGAAAAAAAGAAATTAGGATATGTTCAAAGAGTAGATAGATATATTTTCTTTGAAGATCTTTTTTATTAATTAGAATGTTGGATTTCTATAGGTAAAGAAAACGAAAGAAAATAGAAAGAAATGATTAGTTGGGATGATTTCCATAATTTACTAACTAATTATAAACCTAAAGATATTCCTACAAAAGACAAATATGTAGCCATTTAAAGACTTTTAGGAAAATTTTAATTTGGGGATATAATAGAAGTATCTAAAGATATAATATAGGCAATTAAAAACATATTTGGAATACTTTAAAAACATGCAGATTACTATGTAAATATTTATTTATTTATTGAAGAATTTAAGGATCATAAAGACTATTAATTTTTTAAGGGAAAGTAAATAAAATAATAATATATTATACAAATTTAAATAAAAACATAAAAAATATATATTAGATTTGTACGAAGCAAAAAATATTTAATTTTAGATATAGAAACAGTATTTGATACATTAAAAAGAATGCAATAAGAAGCCAATTGTTTCCATACTTTGGACGAAATAATCGACTTTTTTTCAAGAAAAGGGAGACCTAATTATATTTGGAGAAGAATAAAAGAAGGTCTTTAAGAAGAAAATAAAAAATACGAATCGTAACTAAATGAAGAAGATGATGAATATTTAGATCCTAAATAATTAAAAGAAAAGCGTAAAAATAGAAAAGTAGCTAAAATTTTAGGAAACAAATAAAATGTAGAAAAAAATAATAATTAATTCGGTGCATAATTTAAAAGTCTTGATGATTAATTTATTATTACAGTCCCCCAGCCTTTCTCATTTGTATAAAATCCAAAAAAAAAGAAATCACAATCAGATAAAGAAGACTTTTTGAATCTCTTATTGAAAAAAAGAAAAGAAGACATCATAGTAGCTTCCGCAACATAATTTAGAGCAAATTAAATACCTAAACATATCAAAAACAAAAAATTATGGTCCTAAATAATGGCTAGAAATGAAAAAAGACGACAATAAGTAAAGAAAGAGTCAAAAGCAATAACTATGTCTTAAGAAAATCCCTTCAGTTTCTACTAAAGAGATTTATAAAAATTTAAAGAAAAATAAAATATTCAACCCGAGCATAAATTTGAAAATTTTAAGGCCAAACATGCACCTTGGTACTGCAGAGTGCGTTTGTTCGAACGAAAACAACAAGAATAAATGCAGAAAACTCGCCTTAATATAGAAAAAAGAAAATTAGAATTATAAAATTTAAGTAAACTACCTGAAGGAGTACGCAATATGTTAGATAGACTTAAAGAAAAGGAAAACAATCGAGAAGTTCGAAATAATAGATTTTAATAAAGTTTTTCTTTTTGTCCTATAAAGGCTAAATCTATTCCCAATTTTAAATTTTTACATGAAAAACTAGAAGATGAACTTTAATAAAAAAAAGATATTTTCATTAGTACATAAATAAGGGAATTTAACTTCACATAAACACGAAAATCAACCAAAAGAGAGTATTTAGATATCCAAAATATAGAAATAAAGAAATAAAAGGAAAAAAAAATTGAAAGAGAAAAAAATCTGAAAAAAATACTTGAATAAAAAGTCAAAATCATGCCTTCTTCCACTAGAAAATTCGAGGCGATGGTAAAATAAAGAAAATTATAGGAAGAAATTTCCTAATATGAAAAATTGGAAAATGAAAAAAGAGAAATCGACAAATAATTAAGAAGAGAAAAATTCGCAGAATTCGTCAGAAGTTGTATTTAAAATGCTAATTAATCCCAATATAAGGAATAAGTCAAATTAATGAAATAATAAGAAAGAGAATAAAGATAAATTAAAGTTTTAGAATGGGAATAATAATTCGATGAAAAAATGACTGAAATGATGAGGAAAGTCATTAAAAGACCTCTTTTAATAGAATAAGTGTCTAATAAAAACTGCTCCGATGATCGTAATTAAAGACTTTAAATGATTCTTGGAGAAAGAGAGAGTATTGAAGAAGACGCAGGTGAAAATTTTGATGAATTTGATGAATAATAACTATAAGATTATCTAGATCCAACTAAATGTGATCCTTAGACTTATGAAGAGAGAAGGAATTTATATGAAATGTATGTAAACTCGTAGTTTAGGGCATAAGAGAATGAAGAGAATATGTAAAATATTAAAGAGTAAGATGATGAGGAAGATGAAGATAATAAATAAATGAATAATTTGGGTTAATAAATGTATGAGAAAGATAATAAGAAATTAGACTCTTCAAATAAAAAAAACGGAAAGTTATTTGATGATGGAATTTAAGATAAAGAATTTAAAGAATAATAAAAATAATTAAAAGAAATACAAAAAATATAAAACGAAAGATAATAATAATCGTTTAATTAATAATAACAATAATAATAATTTGATTAATAAGAAGAATAAGAACACGAAAATCATTAAGAAAATGAAAATAATGAATAAGAAGAGGAAGAAGAAGAAGTCTATTATGATGAATACGGAAATAAAATACCTCCGGAAGTAGTATAATAAATGAAAGAATAATTCGAATAATAATAATAAGCAGGAGATGAAGATGGAGAAGGAGAAGAAAATGGAGATGATGAAGAAAATGTTTAGTATGTAGATGAAGATGGAAATGTTATTCCTATAGAAATAGTTAGAGAATATTAAAAATAATAAAATTAACTTTAATAATAATAAGAATCTGAAAATAATGATAACGAAAATATGGAAAATATGGAAAATAGTGAAGAAGCAGAATATGTTGATGAAGAAGGAAATGTAATACCACCTGAAATAGTGAAGTAATATAAGTAAATGTAAAAGGAAGAAGAAGAAGAATAAGAGAAAAAAAAACAGGAAGAAGAAGAAAAAAAAAGAAAATAATAATAATAACAAGAAGATGATAAATAAAGAAAAAAATAAGAAGAAGATAAATAAAGAAAAAAACAAGAAGAAGATGAAAAATAAAAAAAATAGTAAGAAGAAGACGAAAAAAAAAGAAAAAAACAAGAAGAAGATAAACAAAGAAAAAAACAAGAAGAACTAGAAGAAGATAAAATCAAAAAAAGAAAATAAGAAGAACTTGAAAAATAGCAAAAATCTTATAGCAATTCAACTTCTGCTCAGAAAAAAAAAAATTAAGATATAGATTTAAATGAATAATATTACGACCAAGACGGAAATCTCATATCTCCCGAAGAACTCAAATAATACAAAGAAATGATGGCTAACGGAGAAATAGATATGGACGATGCAAATTTAGATGATGAAGAAGAAGAATACGTAGATTAATATGGAAATCCGATTCCTCCTGAAGAAGTTGCTAGATATAAAGAAATGTTAGCCAGAGGAGAAATTCCAAACGATGATGAGCATGAAGATGAAAATAAAGACGGTGAAGAATAAGAAGAAGAAGAATATGTAGATGAGCATGGAAATCCTATACCACCTGAAGAAGTAAGAAAATATAAGTAAATGTAATAATAAGAATAAGAATAACAAGAGTTTGAAAATGAAGAAGAATATTTAGAATATATGGTTTAAATGTAAAAAAAATAACTAGAAGCAGATGGTATTAATGTATCAGAAAGTGAAATAAGGGAAAAACTAAAAGAATAAATAATGAATGATAATTAAAATCAAGAGATTGAAATTGACGAAGAAATGGATTAATAATTAGATTAATTAATTGATAGTATGCCAAAGGAACAATTAGATTAATTTGTAGATGAAAATGGAAAAAAACTTAACAGAGAATAAATTAAGTAAATCATTATAATGTAAAGTTAATAGGATTAGGAAGAAGATGATGAAGGCGATGAAGACGAAAATTAATAAGATTTTAGGTAAGGAGGTGAATATTAATAATAAAGTAAGAATAAAAATAATAGTAGTTTTTGATAATTTTATAATTAAAATATATTTAATAGTATATTTATTATAAAATTATGCAATAATTTTTTTTTTAAATAAATATAAATATAAATATAAATATAAATATAAATATATATTAATTTTTATATATAATATATAATTTTATTTTTTTATATTATTTTTATATATAAAATTATAATATAATTTTTATATTATTTTTACACTTTTAAAATTTTTTTCTTCAATATTATTAATTTTTATCAATTTATTCATAAATTTAGATTTATATTATAAAAATTATTTATTAGAAAAACTAATTTTCATATCTTTATTTAATTATTAATTATTTAATTTTTAATAATGGTTTAATTGATTTTTTTTTTAATAATAAATTAATTAATATAATATTAATTTTACACTAAATTTTTATATTTTATTTTTAACACATTAATTTATATTTTTTTTTTTTTTTTATTATATATATTAGTATTAATTTTTTTTTATTTTTTTTAATTTATTTTAATTATTAAAAAAACTAAAAAAAAAAAATTAATATATTTAATAAAATGCAATAATTAAAAAAAAGAAAATCAATAGTTCTATAAAAGCGTAAATCTATATCTGAAGAAATAATTCTACAAAAGTAACTAAAAAAACAAGAAGAATAAAAAAAGAAGTTAGAATAATATTTAAAAAAGGAAGATTTTAATTTATTTTACTTAACTTAAAATGGTTCAATTAAAGGAAAACTAATAATAAACTTTCCATAAATAACATTTTATCCAGACCCATCAGATTACAAACGATTATTAAAAGAATAAAAAAATTTAAATAATAAAAAACATTATGATAATAATAATATTTAAAATTATACCCCAACAATTTATATTAAAGACATACTAAAAGCATCTATATCCATAATAACAATAAATAATAATTTATATATACAATTAGATGTTTATTTACACAAAACAGACACTTTGAGTACCACTATAACTGACAATTTTGGAAATTCCTATATAGTAAAGTGTTCTTTTCGTTCTTTGGAATATTTAAAAAACCAATCTTAATAATCTAATCACGCAATAAACTATATAATAGAAAAAATAACATTTTTAATCGAATATTTAAATAGCAATAGTTGCGATAATACGACTATTCCCACAATAATATCTCACTATGAGCTATAAATCCTAAACCAAAATCAAGATTGTCAAGAAAAAATATACCCTCGAAATCCCGAATCAAAAATAATTAATAACTTATAATTCTAAAAAATAGTAAATAACTTGCCTCAACATCTCTAAATGAATAATTGGTAGTTAGTTTTTACACCTTTAAAACATGGTTTTTCATACGAATAATTTCTCAAAAAGACTCAATGTATAGGAATTCATGTAATTCTTTTGCAAGAAATAAAAAATAATTTTATTTTTGGAGCTTTCCTGTACTGATAGTTGGGTGAAAAAAAGATATTTGTTATGGAACTGGAGAATCATTTATTTTTAATTTTGAAGAAGAAAATAAAAATATTAATGTCTATTTCCCTAATTCTACTTCTACACATATTTAATATTGTGATGATTTGGGTTTATTTGTCGGAATGGATTAGGATGTTGCGCTTTTTATTCATAGTAATTTTTCTAAAGGGAATAGTCATGCGACAGAAATGTTTCAAAACCCACCTTTAGTTTAGGATTTGGATTTTAATTTGGCTAATATTGAGGTTTGGGGATTAAATGAAAATACATGATTTTTTTTTTTAAATATATATATATATATATATATATATTTATATTTAATGCTTTTTAATATAATTTTATTTTTAATAGAAATTAAACTATATTTTTTTAAAAAAATAATAATATAATATAAATTTATTTCTTTTTTATAAAAAATTAATATATAGATTAATTAATTTTTTATTTTTTCTTTAAATAATATAAAAAAAAAAAATTTCGCATATAAATTATATATATTTTTATTGAAAAAATAATTAAAAAAACAAAAAAATGAATATGCTACTAATATTGTTAATAATATAACTATCTGTAAAAATAAAAATAATCTGTTAAAATAAAAAAATTATTCTTACAGAAAATGAATAAATGCTTATTCAAATAAATGATTCAGAAATAATACCCAAAACAACCTGTCGATAGGAAAATTTAAAAATGACTTAATTATCGTTTCCCCAAATGAATTAATTTAAATATCCAGAAATCGATAAAAACCTTGACGAAATGATATCAATATAATCATAAGAAACATTATTACAAACATATATAATAGGTTTATATTAGAATAATAAAAAAAACATCTAATATAAGCCTTAAATATATATATTTATCGAACAAACAGAAAAAAACAAAAATTCTTAAATAAAATTCATAAAAAAACTAGACTTAGACAAATACGAAAAATGTACAAATTTATAAAACATATAAGTCGTTTAAAAAATAATTCTAAAATGTGAATTTTAAGGAAATTACTTTTTATTAATTTTTAAATAAAACACTTTTTTTTCCCTAAATATTTCTTTTGAAGAGAAACCTCTTAATAATTTTATCAAAAACTGTCTTTAATATACATTAATTTCATTCATTTAAAGTACTTATTTTTAAGCTTGTAGGTTGAATAATTACTTTGAAACATACAATTTTGATACTTAAAAATATTTCAAATCTGCAGCAAACGAAATTTTATAGTATTTTACATCAATATATGCCTATTCAGAACATTTATTATTAATATTGGATTATAAAAATGGCTTAATATTAGTAAATATGTAAGAAAATGGTAATATAATATTTTCAAAACATAAATATTTTGCAGAATAAAATTACCTAAATATGTTTATTAAAATAGACCAGTAAAGTAACAATGAATTAATTGTAATAAATACAGAAAACTACATAATAATATATGAAATGATTGATATAATATAAAAGAGGGCAAATAGTTTTGTAATGCCAGTACATATTAAAAATATAAAAAGTTTACTAAATACAGAATTTTCAGATAAATATAAGACATTTTTTAATTAAAATTTTCCCTTAGTAAAATATCAATATGATAGTTTTTAATATTATTTGACTTTTCTATCTCCAACATCAAATTCATATTTTTTAATAATAAACGACTAATATAATTTTGTTAAGTATTATGCAACTTTTTCTGTAAAAGACACTCTATTATTTACTTATTAAGACCAAGCATAATACTTCCGTACAAAAATTTCCAAAAAATTCTTATTTTTTACTCTATATTAAGAAAATTAAATGGCAACAATAGATTCTTATGTGCACAAAGGTGGTACATATTTAACTTTGAAAGCCTAAATTAATAAATAAATAGTTTAATGTAAAATATAATCTGAAAAAGTCTAAGCTTTGGAAATTTTTATTCATCCAAATAATTAAACAGAAATCTATTCTTTTTATGGGGATAAAGCAGAAACTTATTTTTCAAATTTTTTTCCTAGGTTTACTATCTAAAACTGGTTCTAGGGTTCTTATATGTCTTTTACTTCCTTAAATAGTACACTAGAAATCTCTTAATATATTCAAGAAATAATAAAAAATGAATCTCTTGTAGAAAAAACTTTAATTTCAGCAAGCATAAGTAGAGATGATTTAAATATCTTTTAACAAAAGAATGACATTTTAATGATGTAAACTTGTTATTTGGAAATGTCTTTTTAATGTGAATAGTCCATTTATTTAGATAAATAAGAAGAAATCTCTAAAGTAGTACTAAACAATAAAAATATGGTAATTTTTTACAAAAAACCTTAAATTTGCTTCTACAACATATATTAGAATTAATTTTCTTTACAAAAAATGTTAAATTTAAAATAATATAATTTTGAAGGAGAAAATATTGAAATAATACAATTTCATAATAATAATGCAAAATAATAATTATCTGTCATAGTAAAAACCAAAGATAAGGAATTTTTATATTTTTTCGATTTGAAAAAAAATTACTAAATAACTGATTTTGAAATTTTGGATAAAAGTTTTATTTCTTGGGATTAATCTTTAAGCGAAATAGGAATTTTAATAGGAAATAAATAAGAAGAAATTGTTTTTTTTTCTTTAGATTTTTTTTAAAAAAAAATCGTAGAAAACTTTTCATTTAATAAATAAGAAATTTTAACTTTGATTGATTTTTTGGACGAGTTTGAATAAAAAATTTTTATGAAAAACTATACTTTTAAAATATATAAAGAATAAATATACGCGGTTTCAGTTAAATTATTTATTTTGGATTTCTCTTTAAACTCTTTGTTCGAATTCGCTTTTTAAGAGAATTTTACATCCTTGATTTTTCGTAAAAAAATATCTTTGAATCCCTATTAACTTATTCTTTCATAAGAAATAATCATTAAGTCTAATTTTATGGCTATATAAATATGTATTTTTATTTATTAATATATATTTATTTATTTTTTTGTTTAAAAAAGCCTAATAAAACGAATTTTTTTTACTTTACATTTAAATTAATGAAAATTCAACAAATTAATTTCTAAGAAGAATGTCTTTTTAACCAAATGAAGTAAAAACAAAACAAAAATATAATATAATAAAATAAAAATAAAAAGACTTATTAATATATTGAATACGACTAGTAAAATCCTCCAACTCCAAGCCAACTATGTATATTAGTCAAAAATAAAAGCTAATTAAAACTAGATTGTTTTTTTGTGCCACTAGTAAATTTAAAGATGTTTAAAAGTGTTTAAATTGAAACTTAACCTTTTCATATTACAGTTTAAAATTCTTAAAAAGTCGAAAATCTTCTTTTATATGCAAAATATTTATTTGATTCCTAATTAAAATCCAAAAATAATTTTAAGAAAACAATATGTAATCTAACAGAATTAACTAAAACTTATTAAGAAAACAAATATATATCTTATTGCCCAATTTAGCTTGATTTTTACGAGGGGGCTACTGAAAACTATTACATAAAAGAAGGAGAAGTAGAAAAAGATCTTTCAAAAATGAAACTAATTTCGTATATATAATAACATAAAGAATCAATAAAAGTCATAATAAATGACTTTATTCTAAATAGGGCAATTAACTATTACCAACTAGTGCTTTTAGGTAAAAAAACACTGTAAGTATTCATACCAAACACTGAATTTACAAAAATATTCTAAATTTATTATACGGATATTATCATATAAAGCAATATCCTATAAATTTCTTATTGCAGTTAAATTTATTAATAAAAAAGCACAAATTTAAAGTTTCTACATCCTACATTTACATTATGTAGTGTTATGCAGCTAATGGCTATTATACTGTTTATATTTAGTTTGAAGTTTATATTAATCATTAATAAAATCTCGAAAATCAAACAAAAGATTGGGAATATGCACTAAATAATAAAGTTAGATTATTGAATTTCTACAACACCAAATATCATTAATTTTAATTTGTTCTTGAATAAATTGAACATATATAAATAGTTCCCATATATGATAATAAGGAAGAAGTTTAAGTAAAATAAAAATAACAAAAAATATATAATAATTAAAATAAAAAAAATAATAGGCATACATATATTTTCTAATAGTAAATTTTCAAGCAGATTATCAAATATATACATTATACAGTCAAGAATCTTTAAATAATACTAATTAATTTTAACTAGTAAACTAAATATCAAGTCTAGACTTCGATATAGATTATTTAAAAATCTCCAATTTTAATGCAAATTATCCTTTTCGTAATAAAAATGCGCCTAAATTTTCGCCCGATATTCCTCAAAATTTCACCTTTAATTTAGCTTGGGACGATTCTTAGAGAAGTATATATATCTGCAAACTATAAATAGAGCTTCCTCCTTCTGATAATGCATACAACTCAGAAATAAAAAATATCAAAATTAATGACGTTTATTCTTCCAAATTCGATCTTTTTGTAAAATAAGAAGAAACATCATTAAATCTAGAAGTCCCATTAGTCAGTAATACAAATATAAATGATGATATAGACGAAATAACAATAATTATAGCCAATGATTTATCAATACTTGAATATATTGAAAATTTTAATAATATAAAAAACAGTGAAACAAATATTATTGCCTACAGATAGTATTCTTAATGTATAAACAATTTTAAGTCCGATACTATATTTTAAACCTTTATTAAATTCGCTGATAAATACTTTATTGTTCAATGTAGAGATTTCCAAGGAAACTCAATAATGAAATTATATGAAAAAGAAAATAAATCAATGATATAAGCAATATAATTAAATAAATAAGAAACTTTATAAGATGTGACTTTTACATAAAATAATAATGATTTTTTCCTTAGAATTATTACTATTTCATTAAAAAATGGCAATTAAATTTATTTTAAAGTAAGAGAATATTAAATCCATGATAAAGTTTAATTACTTTTATATAATAATTCTACTTTCTAGAATAATACAAGTGTTAATTTTTGTGCATAAAATTAATACGGAGAAAAATGCAATTAAATTATATTTATTATTGATCCTTTTATGCGAAATTCATATCAGAAAGAATGGATTATTTTCGCATTTTTTATTGTTTTGCCTTTAACTGTGGGATTAATGGTCCTTATTGTAGCTACTGTTTGCTTAAAAAAACTTAGAAGATAAAGAACCTCGGAATTTTTAGAATTATTGTAAAGCTAAAAACTTTAATATTAATGATCTTCTATTGTTTATTTTAATTGAATTTATATAATTAAAATTTTCCTTAATGTATATTAAGTATTATTGTAATTATTATTAATTAAAACAATTAATAATTTTATTTATCTATTTTATTATAAAAAAAATAACATTATTTTAAATTTTTAATATATAAAAAAGCAACATATTTTAAATATTTATCATAAAAAATTAAATATAATAACTAATAAAAATATTTAATTATAAAAATTAAAATTTATTAAATTATTTACAAATAAAAGTAAAATTACTTTTTTAATTAAATATAATAAATAAATAAATAATAAACAAATATAATTAAAAAGTACAAAATTTTTATTAATCAAATATTCTACTCAAAAATTCCTTAAAATTTAATTATTGTACTCTTCGATTTAGCAATTTAATCTTATTAAAAGAGTTTTCTTTCTGATTAAACAGATTAATCACAAGTATCTTAAGTTGATTAAAGTTAATTATTTTAATTAAAATTATTAATTTTTTTCGGAGTTTTTATATATGATTATTCTTAATAAATATCTTCATTTTATTACAATTATTATTATTATTAATAATAATCATCTTCCTTTTATATTTATTATTTTTTTTTGTCCTCCTCTTCTATTTATTATTCATATTCTTCATCATTTTCATTATATATAGAAAAAAGTTTTTCATAAAATTAAAAATATTATATCATCCAAGATTATCCATAAGTTTTTCTTAGATATTCTTCATTATTAACATCATCATTATTTTATATATTTGAAAATTTTATAATTCCAAAAGCAATTTAATCAACACAAAATTGTTTAAAGTCATAGTGATATAAAAGAATATCTTCAATATAATCAATTAAAGATTCATGGAATATATTTTATTAAAACAAAAACTAGCTTATAGTATCATTATTAAATGAAAAATTTAGAGATTTTACTTATTATTCTAATTATTAATATATATTTTAAGGTATTTCAGGGATGTCTTTAGAATATTTTCCTTATATTTCTTCGTTTGTCATTTTAAATACTTCTTTAAGTAAGTAAATTATACAAAATTATTATAAAATAAAAGGCTAAGTTGTATTTTAGTAATCTTATGATAGTTTTCTAGTAAATAAACACATTATTCTTTATAGTATATATTTATTTAAAACTGAGATAATTAGTTAAGTATTTAGTATACTTATTTTTAAAATACATAATTCATATATTGAATATTTTATTATTAATTTTACATTTTTTTATATTGTTATTTTTGTTGTAGTGTTAATTATTTTTTTTTTTATTAATATTTTTATTTTATGAAATAATATTTTTTTTTATGTGGGTTATTTTAAAAATGTATTTATTTATTTTGCGCTTTGTAAAATTTAAAATTTAATTTGAAAATATATATATTCATATTTATTTATTCGAAATATATTTATTTTTTTGAAATAAAATAAAATAATGATAATTAAAATTAAAATTATTAAATTTTCATTCTAAAATATAATTTAAATATACATATATATTTACTTGAAATTTGAATTTCGAATTTCAAAAATAAAATTTTATATATAAAATTATATACCAAAAATTATAATAATTTTCTATTATAATATATTTCCCATTAAATGAAAATGATATTAATATTAAAAAAAAACAATAAAAAAAAAGTATTATATTCAATGTAAATATAATTTAGTTATTTTACAATACAAATAATAAATTATTTCAAACTAATTATATTTTATATTAATTTTCGAGTTATAAATAAATTTTTATTTTTATTTTTAATTATTATATATTATATAATTAAATATTATTATAATTATTTTTTATAATTAATGGAATAAATTATTTTAAATACAATTAAACGCAAAAATATATAAAAAAATATTTATTATTTATTATATGTTAGATAAATATATTAATTGAGTTATTTTTAAATCTATAATTAACTAAATATTTATATATTAATGATTCGGATCTGTAATTTAATAATTATTTTTAAATTAATATTAACTCTATATTTTGATTTAAAATTAATTTTTGCATTATTATTTTTTATAAAAATTTCATTGTTATTTAATAATAAATATTAAACATAAATTAATATTTATAAATTTATATATTTTTAAAGTTAAAATCCAAAATAATTATTATAGTTTTTTATCAAATAAATTATTTTTTAAATTATATATTTTCTTTGAGTATTCAGAATTCTTAATATATTTATTATATAAATAAAATAAAACTTATAATTTATATTATTCTTATTTAATTTACAAATAAATTATAATCTTATTCTATTTTGATAATTTTAAAAAGAATATTCTAAATTATTAATATATGTTTCAAATTAAACGATTTATTTTTTAATTAATTATTATTACTTTTTTATAAAATTTCAAGCTAAATTTAAAGAGAATTAAAAACCAAAAAATTTATATAAAATAAAATCTTTTTTTTAACTTTAAAATTAAACAATAACTAAAAATAATATATAAAAGATACAAAGAGTTTAGAATTTGTTATATGTTAATATAAATAATTATATACAATTATTTATTTATTAAGAAACAATTACTAGTAATTAATATCAAATTACTGATAATTAATATCAAATAAATTGTATAGTTATGTCTTATTATATAATAAGATCATTAAAATATTTTTGATAATAAAAAATATAATTTACGATGTGTAATATTAATTTTTTTCAATAAACATTTTAAAATAGTTTTAAAATATTAATCCTTTAAAAAATATGTATAAATAAAACATCTTTATTATAAAGATACAAGTTTTTTTAATAACAAAGAAAATTTATTTTACTAATTAAAAATTTAAAAATATAAAAATAATATAAGTTTCATATTATTTAAATAAATAGAAAGATTAAATTAAAAAATAATAAATATTATTAAAATAATAAAAATTAAATATATTATGATGACTATATTCCTATTATTAACATTATTTTTTATTTTAAACTCTTATTGTTCTGTCCCATATATCTAAAGCCAGTATATTATTTAATATGAAACTAAACTAAACGCATGTTTAAAATATTTACCTTAATTAGATTGCTAAATATAAGGTATTTATTAAATAGATTGTTAGAACTCTTTTAAATATTGGGATTAATGTGTACTATCAAATTGTTTTGATCTCTAAAACATATATGCTAAATAAGGAAAATAATTTAATTTTGTTTAATCCTTCCAAACTTTTGCCAAAGCGTGTACAGCTAATTGCCTTTATTTCTATCCTGAATTAAAAAATGTATTTAGTAGATATAGTAGACCTTAATTATATATTTAAATGAAATAAAGATGCTTTAATGATACATAAATTGTCTTTAATCCTTATTTGCATGTTACTGGTTTTATTAGTGAATTTAATTTGTGTAAATCTAGAGAATAAAATACATCTTCTAACACTTTAAACGAAGAATTTGAAAACTGCCTCTATAATGAAGAAATTTAATTCTAACCAGCTAAAAATATTTGGAATATGCCTGAAAATGTTGTCCCTTAATTCAAAAAAAACATAGTTGAAAAATGCAATATTAAATTGGGTATTAATTCTATTAAATGTTCTCCATCTATAGCCTGTTTTAATGATTAAAATAGTTATATCGGGAGTTGTTTAAATGGTACTAAAGTTGCCTATTAAATTATTTTTATGATTTACTTATTGTTAATAATATGAAATTATTACACTATAATTATAATTTTATAATATAATTTATATTTATATATTATAAGTATAAATGTATTTTTTTTTTAATATAAACATTTATAAAAATATTATTACTTTAAACTAATAAAATATTTAATAATTAATTTTTATAAAAATTTATTAAATTAATTAAAAACTTAATTTAGTTGATAGTCTTTAATTATATTAATTTAAATATTTTCAAATATATTCTTTATATTATATAATCTATTTATTTAAATAATATAGAAATAAATATATTCAATAAATTTCATAATATAATATTTAATTAATAAGAAAAATAAATATTTTAATATGTTAGCAAAATAAATTTTTATTTATTCTAAATGCGTATTTTATAAATTTTACATTATTCAATTATTAGTTTTTCATAAAAATTATATGCTTATTTTATTTTTAAAAAATTTAGTAATATAAAAGTATTTTTGATATTTTTAAGATATTATTTTTATAAATATATTTTATTATATTATATTAAAAAAATTATTTGGAAATATATATATATATATATATATATATATATAATATTTATATATATCACTTATATTTTTATTTAAAAAAATAAAAATTATTATTGTATAATTTATTTTATTACAAATTATAAAAGATTATTTATTTATTTGTATTAAAATATAAAGCTTATTTGATTTACATAAAAAAAAATGTAAGAAGAATAAAATCCTATTGAAAATTAAAATTAAGAAATACAACAAAAATTTCAATAAAACTAAGAAAAATTATAATAAAACTAAGAAAAATTATAATTTAAAACAATTTAAGAAGATATTTATTCTCAAAATTCTGTAATTTTATCAGCTTGCTATCAAAGAAAAAGTGAAGTAAAAAAAAATGTTTTAAAAAATTGAAATTAATAAATAAACTAAAAAAAGTCATATAAATTAATAAAATAATGGGAAAAGAAACAGTTCGAAAAGCTTAGCAAAAACAAAGAAATAATCGAATAAATATTAAAAAATTTAGACAATTAAGTCCAAATATCCTAATCTTCTGAACAACAAATAATAATTTTTTTTAAAGAAAGGAAAGAATAAGAATTAATCTATTCAAAAAAATTCTAAAACAAATCCTAATAACTTTCAACTTGCTTTAAGGAGTAATCAAACAATTAGAATTTAGAAAAATCTTCTCAAGTTTAAAAAAATATAGAATGGTATCCCACATTGACCCAAGCTTTATAAGGAACGGATTAAATGATGGAGAATTAAGGTAAAAATGTATTAAATCTTGTTAATTAAATTGATAAAAATATTCTTAAGAATTCTTTATTGAAAGAAATGGATGAATATACTTTAACCATAGAAGAACTAAGAGGAAAAATAGGGGAACAGATACAAAATATAGAAAAGACATAATAATTAGCTCAACAAAGAGGTTAAAAATACGAAAAGTAAATAAGCGAAAGCAAAATAATAAAAAAAAAAAGACAAGACTTATATATATATGAGAAAAAATACACGAACAGAATATTCTAAATATTTAAGCAATCAAGAAACTTAGGTTTAGAAATAATAAAATATTGGGAAAGGTTAAAATAACTAGAAGATAATAGAATGGAAATGATAAAAAATTAATTTATTTTGTACATTAATTTACATTAATAAACATATGGAAGTAACGATTAATTACACAAAAATATTAAAAATTTGCAAAACTTTAATTTCTCTTCAGAAAAAACATTGGGAATATAAAAAATTACAGAAGGACTTTAAGTTTTGAATTTCGAAGAATTAAAACTTTTTATCAACGAAGGGTTCTAATGTGATAATATTGATCTTAATAAACATCCACTTATTTAAAAAAGATATATGGTCAAAAGAGATGTAGGAGTTTTTGTAAAAACCTTCAAAGATTCATTAATGGTTCTTACAGTTGACGATATGCTTCTTTTGTATGATTTTGATGTTTAAAAAGATGGTAAAAGCTCATTTGGACCTAATAAAAAATTCAATTTGTAATTCTTGAAAATTAAAGAAAGAAGTGATGTAGGATAAATTGATCTTATTGAAGATTAACCTGGTATATTTAATTCTTCTTAAAAAGAGCTTATTAAATTTGAATAAAACGACGATTTCGAAGAGTTTAAAATCTTTATTTTAAGATATATTAAATAATGAATATTTTATTTTTTCTTTATTTTGCTTTTTTTATTTTTTTAAAATTAATTTTTTCTTTTTTTTTATAATAATACTTTTAACTCTATTATTATTCTTTAATTTGATTTTATTATTTTACTATTTATCCAAAAAAAAAATTATAATAATAAAATAGTATAAAAATAAATTAATTTTTTACTAACTTATAATTATCAAAAAAAATGATTATGACTTCTAATTAATAATAAAACTTATAAATAGTTTCTTCATCAAACAATTTTTATTGTACATAATGTCTTATATCCTTTTAAAATGATAAAGAATATAAAACACATTATAAATCTGAATTTCATTAATATAATATTAAAAGAAGGCTTTTAGATTTGATTCCTGCAACTTTAGAATAATTTGATTAAAAGAAAAAATGTAAAAAAAAATAAAAAATATAAATTTATTATTAAATTAAAAGAAATTCATGAATAAACAATTTAAAAGACAAATGATAAAAACAAATAAAAAGAAGATCTTTTTTGCAATAGTTGCAGGTATTAAATTTATAATTTTATATATAAAAATTATTCTACAAACTTAATTTTATAGAAAATCTTTTTCTAATGAAAATAGCTATAAAGCTCATTTACAATCAAATAAACATAAGGAGAACTCAAAAAATAATGAAAGCCCTGAAAAATAAATATAAAAAAGTCCTAAAAAATAAGCTTTAAATACTTTATAAGATTAAAAAATATGCCTTTTTTGCGATAAAAAGAATGAAGACATAGAAAAGTAAAAAAAATAAAAAAATATGTATACTTTATTTATAAAAATCAATAGAAATTTAGAACATATGAGTAAAACACATGGCTTTTTTATATGTGAATAAAAATATTGTATTGATGTTACCGGACTTTTAAAACATTTAGGAGAAAAAATAAATAAAGCATTTTTATGTATTTTATGTGAAAATAAAAGTTGTAAGGATTTCCAAGTAAACATTTTTTTACACAATAATAATATTAATATATAAAAAAGAGTGGTGAATCTGTAAAAAAACATATGACTGATAAAGGACATTGCTTCATGCAAAGTGAAGTTTTTGAAGAATATGAGAATTATTACGATTTTACTGAATAAATTTAAGAAACAATTAAATATTAAGAAAGCTTATTCAAAAATACTGCTTAATCTACTAAAACTATTGAATATGTTTAAAGAAAAAATGAAAGCTAAATTGAATAAGATGAATAAAATGAATGGGAAAGTGAATAAGAGGAAGATGATGAAGATGAAGATGGAGATGAAGAAGAAGAAGCAAAATTATAAGAAACAAAAGAAGAAAGAAAAAATGATTAAAAAAACAAAAAACTTAATAAATAAATAGATGAAGAATGGGAAGATGAATAGGAAAATGAAAAAAAAGAAAAAAAAAAAATTAGAATTTAAAAAATTAAGTAAAAAAAAATAAAAAAAAAATATTAATTATATAATTATATGAAAAGAATACACAAAGCAATTGTTAATGAAATTGGAGAATTGGAACTTCCAAACGGAAAAATATTAGGACACAGATCGCTTAGATATATATATAAACAATATTATAGACCAATTTATAACTGTAAAACTAAACTTAAAAGTATTTTCGGCGAAAATTAATAATCTTTAACAAAGTTTATGAATTATATCTCGCAAAGTGTAATTAAAAAATAAATATATAGTATACATATTTTTATTATTTATTTTATAAATTTATTCTTAAGTATTAACATTAATAATTACCTGTTTAATTCCAAAGATAACAAAAAAAAATAATCATAGACTAGCTGTTTAACACGTCAAGTATTATTTTTTTATTTTTATTTTTATGACTTTATTTTTAGTTTAGGAATAAAAGCAAATAGCCTATAGACATATTTTAGATATTAGAATCCTAAATGATTAATTTTTTTTATTGTAATTTTATGTAAGTTTTCTTTATTTTATTTAAATAAAGAAATAATTATGGAATTTTACTATTTATGTAAGAACGAAAAAATTATTTTAATAATAAAAAAATATTAACAAAAATTAATTAAAATTTTATGATTTTATATAAATATATAAGATAATGAATAAATATTATAATTAAATATTTTAATAATTATAATTTTATATAATTTACTTTAATCTATTATATTTTTTTTAATATGTAATTTTTTATAAATACTCTTTCATATTTTTTTTTTCATTAATTTTATTTTATATATTATTATAAAAATGCAATTTACTTTCTTTAAAAATATTATGAAAATTGTTAAATTATATAAAAATTATTGAATTAATAATTTTTATAATTAGTTTTTTAAAGTAAATAAACCCTCTATACTCATATATATAAACTATATTAGAAAAAATTAAATAGGAAAAATATTAATTAATAAACATATATATAAATATGATTATTAAAAGAAATTTGATTTAAAAAAGATTCTTTATAAATACGGCTTGAAGATTCAATAGATTATATTGATGTTTAAGATAAATAACATTGTTAGTACAGAATAAATAAAATATAAGCCTTAGATATATCAAAATAAAAAAATAAGTGAAAACTATAAAAAATTTGCCATTGAAAAAGCATTTGAAGTCATATATTTTACAACTGAATGTTTATTAAATAATTTTATATTTTATCTTTTGTTGTTAAATTTACTGTAAAAAATTAAATTAAATCATTTTTTTTTTTAAATATTAATAATTGAGCATTAAATTTTGTATTGTTTAACATAATAAAATTATGATTTAATATAACAAAATTATTAATTAAGCATCAATGTTTTTAATATAACATTAAAGAAATATAAATATGAAAGCATACGGAATAAAAAAGAAATAAATTAAAAAAGGAGAATCATAGTAGATTTAGCACCCTGATGCGCTTCTTGTTTTTAAAAGAGTGTTTTTTCTGGGTTATTGAGGGTTAAACCTTTAAATAAATAGTTTAATAAATTATTCATGATATTTTTATGAAAACCATGAATTTTTAATGAAAGAAATCTAATGAAAAACTATTCAGTATGGTTTAGGGACAAAATATGTATTTATTTTCTCTTAAAATATTAAATGTGTTGAAATTTTAAATGCTATTCAAGCTATAAGTTTATTTGGAAATTCAGAATCAAAATTTTATATTGGAAATGCAATATTAACCTTAGATTGTTTGCATATTATAAAAAATTTATACATAAATTTTAAACTATAAAAATATTATAATTAATTAAAAAGAACATTATAAATTTAAAGACATGGGCTCTGTTATTTTTTGAAAAGCGGGAAGGCATTTAGTGATAATAGAAAACTCCATTATATTGCCCCAGAAATTGTTCAAGGAAAAGGATATGGCTTTCCAATAGATTTATGGTTATTTGGGAAGGTATTATGCCTTATGAATTTTTTCCTGATCCTTTTAAAATATATGAACTTTTAGCCGAATAAAATATTAAATTTCCCCCATTTTGTCAATGATATTAAATTTTTTGTAATTGCTTGATAGAACATTTCCAGATACTAGATTAGATGGATCTTTTTTAAGCTTAAATAACATTAATGGTTAAGCGGTTTTTATTGATATAAGTTTGAAAAAGGCAATTATAAATCAACTTTTAGATAGTAGTTACAGTATTTTCAAATTAAAAGGATATTTATTTAAGACGTAATAAATAATGAAGTTGTTTAAAGTACTTGATGGAATAAAAGTTAGTTATAAACCTAGTTGGGAAAAATTATTTTATTGAGATTTTTAAAATAGTATCTTGATATACTTTTTATTTTTTAATTAGAATATAATCAGTAATATATTTGTTATTTTATTTTTTTACTTTTTAATTTATTTTAATATTTTATATTTATTTAATATAATATATTTTATATTTTTATTTATTTCTATTTTATTATATTTATATATGGGTAAAAAAAAAGAAGAAACTAAAAAAGAAACTGTAAAAGAAGTAGTTTATACAAACTATTATTATGTAAATTTATATTAACTAAAGCAAAAAATATTAAAAGCTTATTTAATTATTTTTTTAAAAAATAACTAATTTAAATTACAATAATATAAAAAAAAGCCAAAAATTGAGGTTCCATAAGAAAGTGAAGGATGGCTTTTGATAAAATTTTTAGTAAAAAAATAAAATAAAAATTAATATTTTTAATTTTTAATTAAGCTTTAAGAAAAAAATTGGCATTTTGCTGATTTTGAATTATACGCAAAATCTAAAGACCCTTTATATTATTTGCTAAGAAAAATAGAACATAGACATGGAAAGTTATAAAATTAATTTTTATTGAATATTTTGATTTTTTTTTTTTACATAAAATAGAATTAAAAATATAAACTTATTTAAAGATCCAGAATAAAAAAAAGATATTGAATAAAAAGAGCCGTAAAAATATAAATAAATAATAATAATAAAAAATATATTTTTGCTTTTATTTTCATATTTATATTTGATAAAATAGTATTGTTTGTTAATTTACTGAAACATTGGGAGAAATATTTAAAACATAAGGAGAGAAAACATAGAAAGAAGCTAAAGCATTTAATCTTTATTATAATTTTGATATAAACATTAAATCACCATTATTACTTTATGAAATAAACTGAGTAAAAATATTTATATATAGAAATAATCTATAACTTTATTAAATTAAATTTTTAATATCAAAATACTCTAAAATAATTAAATTAAATTTTTTATAAGCATACATAATATTAAATAATATAATATAATTTAATTTTATAAAACATAATTTATAAAAAGACATTAGAATATATAGGGAATAATACTATTTTTATAATATACATAATCATTTGAGAAATTAAAATATTGATAGTAAAATAAATATTATATTTATAATCAATTCAACATTTAATAATATTTTGACATTACCTATATTTTTACGGATTATAAAAATTCATTAAAATATATTTAAATTGATTGCTTGTTTTGAAAACTAACATATATAAGAATATTTTCAAATTTCTTAATTTAATTATTTATATTCCGCTTTTAATAATACTTAAATTATTTTTCAATGAATCATTTTATTCTATACACAAATAATTGTTAAAATATATTAGTTTATCTTATATTAAGTTATAATATTTAAACAGTATTAATGTTTTATTTAAATTTCGTAATCTTGTTTGATATTGATACAATATTGTTAATTAAGTTTTAAATATTTATTTTTTAATAAATACCATTCAAAAAAAAAAAATTATAAAAATTTAAAGTCTACATATAATATTCAAAAATTTTAAAAAATAAAGAAAAATTTAAATAAAAATGTATTTATAAAGAAGTTATCATCAACAAAATAATATATATACTCAAAGCCCTGAAAGAAACTATACAAATCAAACGAATGATTTTTAAATGATAAACTAGAATGAGAGGGAAGATTAATTAAACATAATGTTCAAAACATTTTAATAAGATTTTACATATGATGAATTATTAAATTTTCTCGATAAATAAGTAATTATATAAATATGTATATAAAATTCTTTTTATTTCAAATAAAAAAAATAGAATAATAAATAATATGATAGAAATATAGCACTTTAATTATTTTAAGAATGTTATGTACAGAATAATAGAATAACTGCAAGAGAATTCATATAAAAATATTTAGAAACTGAAAAAAACCTTATTTTTAGAATTAATTTCGAATAATCTAAAATAGAGAACTTAAAGTAATAGAAATAAGAGTTAAAAATGATTATGAATACAAAAAATAACAAAAACAATTAAGTTTTGATAAAAATAAAATAAGTAATTGCACTTGAACCTTAATATCATGAAAACAAAATTATTTTTGTCAAAATATAATGCGGAAACATAACAAAAGAAACAAGTTAATTAATAAACTAAAGAAACCCAACTTGGAATGAGGAATTTATATTGTAAAAAATTATATATTATGTAAAAATAAAAATATCAATAAATATAAATACAATTTTTATAGATATATATTTAAAAATTAATTAAATAAAAACAATTATTATTTTTATTTAAAAGTGATTTATATCCTGAAATACATGAAATATATTTAATTTTGACTGATCTAGAGAAATTTTAAAGAAAAGAAGAAATCGGAAGAGTAGTAATAAGTGTTTAAGACATTAAAAATCAGCATAGAATTTGTAGAGAAGATTATTTGATAAGAACAGATAAATTAAGATCTAAATAATAATTATAATATGAATCTATTTTCATTTAATCTGAAGTAAATAATTTTATTTATTTTAAAAAATAATAAAAAATAGACATAAAAAGATTTTGAATAAATAAAATAAAAAGAAGAAGAAATAAAATAGCATGAATAAAATATTTAACCAAATAAAATTTATTTAATGAAATTAACAGAATTGTTCGCATCTCCTTTTTCTAAAAATGCAAACCTATTCACAGATTTAAATAAATCTATTAATATTATGAACTAATCTGCATATTATTTCCCAAATATTTAACAATTAAAATATGAATAATAAGCCTTTGATATTGTAGATAAATACTCTCAGAGAATTATTGATGATTGGAATAAATTCACAATTTTAATAATAACTATACATACATTGTTTAGTGTTTTTTTAAGTATTTATAAGTCATTTTAATTTATTGAATTATCATTAATTTTGCTTTTTGCTTGCTTAACTTTTACTGGAATTCTAAATTAAACATAACATAGATTTATAAGTATTTTATTTATTATTTCTTGGTTTTTTGATCTTTTCTGGCTTTTTATATTCTATGATGTACTTTTCTTTTCTTATTTTTTTAAGATATTTTAAAAAAATATGAATATTTTAGGATAAAGAATGGCTAAATGAAGAATAATCTTTTATGAATTATATTTTAGTTTTATCAATTATAAATCTAATTTTTATAAAAGTATTTTTTCAATATAATATAATATAATAAATTTTTCTTATAAAAATATAGCTTCCTTTTATTGTTTGCTTATGGAGAGCTTATTTTACTTTTGATTAATTTTAATTGTAAATTGTTTAAAGATTAAAGGAAAAAAGTTTATTATTAAATAAAATTATACTTACACCAGGAGATTTTTATCAAAATTAATTCAATAAAGATTAAATAAATAATTATAATAATAAGGAATAATATGCAAGTCAATAAATAAAACCATAATAATATTATTAAATGAAATATAATTAAAATTATAATTATTGAAAAAGATAAAAATATAAAATAATATATTTTAGTAAAGAATAATATGCAAGTCCATAAATAAAGTCATAATAATAATATTAAATAAAATATAATTTAATTTTATAATTATTGAAAAAGATTAAAAATAAAATAATATATTTTAGTAATGTATAAAAAAAATTAAATTTAGTATATATATTAAAAATCCTATTTTTTAAAGAAAATGCTAAATAAAAAAACTAAAAAACTAACTTTTTTTATATTAAAAAAAAAATCATTTTTATTAAGCCAATTTTCTTAATACATACAATAAAATACCTCCATGCTTATAATATTAAACTTCTACATCTGTATCTAATCTGCATTTAACTTCAAAACTTTTTCCATTGCTAGTTTCTACTTTAACCATTTACCCGACTTTCAAATTACCTTAATTAATATCAATATTATAAGTTTCGTTTCCTTATAAACCTAAAGTTTCTGCACATTCTCCTACTTTGAATTCCAAAGGCAAAATACCCATTCCAATTAAATTAGATCTATGAATTCTTTCATAAGATTAAGCAATAACGACATTAACTCCTTATAAATAAGGTCCTTTAGCTGCCCAATCTCTTGATGATCCAGTTCCATATTCTTTACCTCCAATAACAATTAGTTAATGACCTTCTTTCATGTACTATGAAGCAGCATCATAAATAGAAAGAGTTTATCCTGTTGGGAAATGCACAGTATTAGGCCCAACTTTTCCTCCCAAAAGTTTATTGATAATTCTTACATTAGCGAAAGTTCCTCTTGCCATAATTTCATCATTACCTCTTCTGGATCCATATGAGTTAAAATTTTACTATGTAACTCCTCTTTCTTATAAATATCTACCTGCAGGTGAATCTTTAGCTATGTTTCCTGCCGGTGATATATGATCAGTAGTTATTGAATCTCCAAAAAGACCCAAAACATAAGCATTTTTGATATTTTTAATTGGCTTTAATTTTAATGTGCAATTTTAAAAGAAAGGAGGATTATGAATATCTAATATAATAATATAAAAATATTTAATATTTAAGGAAGAAAAAAATACATGTAGATTTATCATCCCATCCATACTAAATACTTTATTTAACTTCTAAAGCATTCCATCTATCAGTTCCTTTAGCAATTCTAGCATAATTATCCGTGAACATATCTGGAGTGATAACTTCAATTTAAAGTTTATCTATTTCATCCCTTGAAGGCCAAATATCTCTCAAAAAAACATCATTTCCGTTTTTGTCTTTTCCTAAAGGTTCTTTTTCGAAATCAAAATTTACAGTTCCAACTAAAGCATAAGCTACAACCAAAGGAGGAGAAGCCAAGTAATTAGCTCTAGTTAAAGGATGAACTCTTCCTTCGAAATTTCTATTACCAGAGAGTACTGCAGCAGCCACAAAGTCATTATCTTTAACAATTTAATTCAATAAAGGATCAACAAAATCACCAGAATTTCCAATACAAGTCATGCATCCATACCCAGCATGTGCAAAGCCCATCTAATTCATATATTCAACCAAACCTGCTTTTTCATAATATCTAGTAACTACCTAAGAACCTGGAGAAAGGGAAGTTTTTACATAAGAAGGTATTTTTAATCCTTTTAAAAATGCATTTTTACACATTAAACCAGCAGCTAACATAACTCCTGGATTTGAAGTATTTGTACATGAAGTAATAGCAGCAATAAGTACTTAACCATGTTTGAAAACGTGCTTTTCACCTCCTAATTCGAAAGGGATTTCTAAAGTAGCTTTATCAGCTGGTACACCAAAAGACTTGAAAGTTACAGGTTTGCATAAGCCTTCGTTGAACTCTTTTTTTACATTACTTAAAAAAATTAAGTCTTGGGGTCTTTTAGGCCCTGCAAGTGCAGGCACAATAGTCGAAAGGTCTAATTCTAACAATTATCCCGAATAAACAGGATCTTTTTCATTTGTATCATAAATTCTGAATAATCCTTAGGCCCTTAAATACGTTTCTACAATTTTAATTTATTCATCTGATCTTCCTGTTTATCTTAAATATTCGATTGTCTTCTCATCTACTGGAAAAAAACCAGTTGTAGCCCCATATTCAGGTGCCATATTTGCAACAGTAGCTCTATCAGCTAAACTCAATGAACGTACTCCAGGACCGAAAAATTCAACAAATTTACCCACAACACCTCTTTTTCTTAATGTGTTGGTACAAGTAAGTACTAAATCAGTAGCAGTAGCAGTTTTAGGCAGCTATCCTGTCAATTTGAATCCTACCACCTCTGGTAAAACCATTGCAGAGCATTCTCCTAGCATATTAGATTCCGCTTCAATTCCTCCTACTCCCCAACCTAGAACTCCTAATCCGTTAATCATTGTAGTATGTGAATCAGTACCTACAACAGTGTCAGGATAAAGAACATTATCTTTATTTTAAAAAACACATTTGGCTAAATATTCGAGATTTACTTAGTGAACAATACCAGAACCGGGAGGGACAATACGAAAGTTCTCGAAGGCATTCTAACCCCATTTTAAAAATTCGAAACGCTCTCTGTTATTTTAGAATTCAAGTTCTTCATTTTTTTAAAGAGAGTCTAAAGTTTTTGCATATTCAACTTATATTGAATGATCTATTACCAAATCAACTTAACATGCAGGATTAATCTATTAAGGATTTCCTCCTAAATTTTTTATAGAATCTCTCATTGCTGCTAAATCTACTACCAAAGGAACTCCTGTGAAATCTTAAAGAATTACACGTGCAGGTTTAAAAGGAATTTCTATATCTTTTGTAGAGTTATTTTTCCAGTCCAAAATCTTTTCTACATCAGATGATTTAATGTTGAATTCATCGCAGTTTCTTAATGCACATTCTAATAAAATCCTTATGGAATAAGGAAGTTCGGATACTCTTGCATCATTTAAGCTCTTTAAAGAGTACATTTTGTATCCTTAAAGGCCGGGGACTTCTTAAAAAATTTTGTTGAAAGGATTTGCTTTTGCTTCCATTTTATTATTTTTATTATTTGATTTGATTTTATTTTTATTGATATTTTTCTTTTTTTAATTAATTTCTTATACACGTATATTTTATTTTGTTTTATGGATTCATTAATTAAATATTAAAATAGATGTTGTAATTTTTGGACGTAATATATGAAATAATTTAAACTTAAAAAAATACTTTTTCTTACATTTTTTTTTATTTCACTTTAAGATTAATTTCTTCTTACATATTATAACACGTATTTGTTTATAAAACATAATTAAATTTTAAAAGATATAGATAAAAAATATAATGTATTTTAAAAATTAACAAATATTATATTTATATTTATGATTTAAAAACATAATACATTAGAAAATATCTAATTTATAAATATATTATTTATAAAATTAAAAATATTATAATATAATAAAATAAAAATATATATTTATTAAACATTATATTTTAAAATTATATATAAATATAGTTTTTTTTTTTAATATTAAAGATAAAATAAAAATATTTATATCAAATAGTATTAATTAAAAAAATTAATTAAAATAAAAATATATATTTTAAATTTAAATAATATTAAATTTAAATATATTTATAAAAAAGTAATAATAATATAATATTAATAATTATATTATAAGTTGAAAAAATTAAATTTATATTCAAAAGTTATTAGTATAAATTATATATGCTTCTAATTATATCTATTTTATAAAATAAATAAATTCTTATAATTTTTAAATTATAAAGTTAACAGAATTTTATTAATATATAATTATTTATACTTGAAATTTAAATTATAAAATTATTTATTTTAAAATTTTTTAATTTTATTATTATATTCTTTAATTATACATATAAATATTACTATTGTTTTGTTAAAAAAATATGTCATATTTATATATATATATATATATATATATATATATATATATATATATATATATATATTTAAATAAATAGTAATAAACAATTATTGTTCAAACTTTATTTTTGTTTTTTATAATATACATATATATATTTATTATATACTAAAAAAATGCTTTTGTATCTCTACATTAAGATTTTTTACAAAATTCAGCATCATTAAATGGTCTAGTCCTTAGAATATAAATTATAAAAAAAAAAATTAAACTTTTTTATATGCAAATGCAAGTATTAAAATTATAGATAAGCAAAAACAAGAAACTGTTAAACTTTATATTTTTTTATTTTAAATTTTAAAGGTAATATTTTTTTAATTTAATACATCATATAGAATTGTTAAATAAATAAATATATTTCTGATCTGGTGATCTGGAACATTTCTTATCTTTCTTAGAAAAATAACATATTATAAAAATTATTTTAATAATTTTCAAAGTGTTTTATAAATTATTCTGAAGATACTATAAGCTAAAAATTATTAATTTAAAATTATATTTAATTTTATATTCAGGCGAATAATTAAATTATAGTCATTATTTCATTTTATATAATATTTTATATAATCAATATTACTATCTTTTAGCATAAATACTATCTAAATATTTCATTTTAATATTTTAAATCCTATGGAGGTTTATGATCATCTGTCCATAATATTAAATTATTATAAAAAAGTTACAACAAATTAATCTATGTAGTTTTTTAAATAGCTTTCAAATATTTTTTAAGTCGTTTTGACTTGTATTTTAATCTGTGATTTTTTTTTACTTTTATTATTATTATAATATTTATTTTTATATTATATAAAAGTTCAGAATAATTAATTATAAA